AATTACTATGTTTTTAATAGATATACTATGGTTTTTTTTTTAGTTGGATAGGTGGAAAACATTGGATGTTTTTTTATTGTGTTCTGTGAATCTGGTCTCCAATTTTCTTCCTGTTTCTCTGATGTAGAATTCTGGGCAGTTATTGCATGTTATTTTGTAAATGATGTTGGTATTGTGTGATAAAATAGTTACTAAACAAAAATTATTTAGAATCACACAATACCAACGTCATATTAGGAAATAAGTATAAATTATGCCTCTTTCATTCTGGAATGAACACAAATTATAACACGAAAGCATAAATGTTTAGACTAAATAGCTTTAATCTCATAACATTATACATTTATATATATTTATTATTTTTATTATATTGACCTTTCAGCTGTGCCTGGTTATCAATACAGAAGTTACAACAATGTGGCTCACGTGCACTCATGTTACCATTTAAAAATAACATAAATAACGTAACTTGTGTTAGCTTTGTTTTAGTAGACTAGTATTTTGTAAAATACAGTCACATTTCAATTATTATACATTATATATATGTATATAGATTATTGCTATTCTGAAATAAATTCTTAAACTTATTTTTCTTAAAACATAGAATTGTAACTAAAGAAGTAAAGCAAACAATTATCTCTTCTAGTTACAACCTTTGTACTCGGTTCCTGCTTGATGTAGGTTGCTAAGCCTTTAAAAAATTTTTACATGGAGGATATGAAACAAAATATTTTTTAGGTTTTACATATACATTTGAATAACTAAAAAAATCATAAATTACTATATTAATATCATAGAATTCCACTACAATTTATCAAGCTTACTAACTAAGATCTATTTTAGTCTGAACAAATATGAAATTTCGAGCAGACTAAAGACACAACCTACCTCATTGAAATATTGGTTAAAAAGAAAGAAATGGCACCAAGCCTATTAAAATGGCTGAGAAAGCCACTAGGGGGACATTCCTAGCTTCCAATTGGTTATTCATGTCGTATATAGAAGGAAGTATGTATAAAGAAGCATTTCCAAAAATGGAAAGAGGTGGGCAGAGTGTCACTGTGTTTGATTTATTACATGAACAATATCTTGGCAAACTGAGAAGAAAAGAGGTTCTTATTTTTTTATTCTAGCTTGTCAATATTGGTAATTTGGGTTTCAAATTCGTACGAAACTATAGACTTAGTATTTTGACTTCACAAGCATTTAATTTGAACCAGTGCTGCATTCAACATACCACGTGACACATAAGATCAATGTTTATCTGTGTTTGTTAATATTTGCTTTTAAATTAAGAAATTGAGTAATATATAGTACTAAAATTTGAATTATAATTTACAGCTTGATACCAAAGTTATTGACATAAATTCATGAAATAGTAGTTCAATAAAAGTTTGAAGGCAAGTCAACAAATGACATGACATGGCCTTTCACCTGTGACACGTCTTAAAAGGGTTAAATAGTACTGATTGGAGTGTCATGTTTTACACTGCACTGGAGCTAGTAACATTTTGGAAGTTTTATGTTACTGAATTCTTGTGAGGCTAAGATGAGGAGTTTGTAATTTTTACATTTTAATTAACTTTATTAAAAACTGTAGAACAATAAGTAAAAAATACACAGAAAACAAGGATATGTAGTACTCACTGCACACTTGAGTCATTTGCACTCGGTAGAAATCTTAGACATTCTTCTCTAAACCTCATTGACTCTCAGAAGTTTGGGTATCCATAAAAATTCATAAAGCATTAAAATATCAATTTTAGAATTAAAAAAAAATCATCAATAAAATAGAATGCCCCGAAACTGCTATAATTTACCTGGCTCTCTATGTAAGCTATAAATAGGTTTAAAAAGTTCCGTTACTGTTTGGAGCACAAAATCTGATAAACACAAACCAAGCAATTCTCCTAGTCTGATAGTTTACTTTTTCTGTTTGTTATAAACATGTTCATCAATTATGTAATCTTGATTAGGAAACAATCTTGAAAGCCAGTGAGAAAGGCTTCTCTGGTAAATTTGACAAATTTATTGATATCTCAGTAATTCAAAGATGTAAGAGGCTCAAATTTTCAGTTTTTTGCTTACATTTATACATAGTTTATGTTTCTTGTTTGATGGAATCATTAGCATCTGGTTTTAGAAGTTTGAAAATTCTGTAGTGAAAAAGGCAGAGGTCAGGTGCATCACGCAATACAGAAAAATGAATATTAACATCTTTTAAATTTATCTTTTTTGAAATTAAGAAGGTAAAATTTTGATAGAAATTTGTATTATAAACTATGTTTTTATGCCAAGTTTATTGACATACATTGATAATGAAGTTGCGTAATTAAATTATGAAAGTAACATTGAAAAGGTTTTCCAACATGCAAACTTCAGTTCATTTGTGCAGTAGGACTTAACAGTTGATGTACTTATGTTCTTTTTTTACAAAATTATTAACCTGTGTGCTTAACTGTTCTTATCAAATGGTACTAGCTCTTTGTTTCTGGCCATATTAAACCAAAATCTGGTTCACATTGTTTTTACAATGTTATATTTTTCAACTTTAATAATTTCTTTACATTGTAAACATCATATATGTTTTATGAACTGTGACTGTATGTATGTGCTCTTTTCGATGCATTACTTAATCAATCTGAAAGACCACTGTTTTGAACTTGTCTATTTTAATTTGCTAAACATATCTAATATTTGTCATCATTTACATGTTAAATTCATTTTTCAACTTCAGATTATGCAATTGAGCATAAGCTTTCATCTTTTTTAATAGTCATTTTGATGCAGTATATATATGTTTCGATAATGAAATAACTTTCCACAGAGACTGGTTAAATATCCAAACCAATCAGATACCCCCCCCCCCCAATAAAAAAAAACTGCTAGACATGCTGGCCCCTCTGGGAAATCAACTAAACAAATACTTTATACCTATCAAACTTTTATTGAAGAAGAAAACATATTTAGATGAATTGTACTGTGACTAATAAATTTGTTAATAACTTTTGGCAAATCCAATTCGTCCACATCGTTCTTCAGGATATAGAGAGAGAAGCAAGATGATTCATGCAAGACTGTGACATGAGGAGGCGCAACTAACTTTTCAGCTTCCTTAGGGCAGAAAACAATATTTCAGCAATGCATGTAGTCGCTGGAGCCACCTAAAAGATTTTAAGCATGGTGAAAACTGATGGATGAACGTACTTAAACACAGGATTTTTATACATTGCTTCACAAAAGTAATGTACGGAAATCTTTGATGAATCTGGAAAGTTTATCAATATTAGTTGCAGATTGCTTGCATAGAGATTTTTGATCACTGCTAGTTTATGCAAATCATCTGTAGGATATCTCACAGAAACTGATTCAACAGCAGTTGCAAACACTGATTGGTATGTTCTTTCAAATTCAGATTCTACAGTTTGTGCAACATTTGCACCTCTGTGCAATGCAGGCTCTTCAATGCCAATAGAATTAGAAATGTATAAAAAGGATTTGTAGAACTGTGTTGCAATACCAGCATCATTAGCATCCTGCAGAAGAGAAACCATGCCTTCAATTTTTGAGCAGACAAACTGCACCAAAACTTTTGGGTGACT